CAATGGCCTTCTCTGGCACATACATCGTAGACATACCACACACACACTCTCACACACCACACACACACACTCATACACACACACTCACACACACATGCACACACGCATACACGCGCACACACTCACACTCATGCGCACACACTCACATACACTTACACTCACACACTCACACACACACACTCACACACTCACACACTCACACACACACACCCAAGACAGTATTTAAACTTAGAAACTCTGATCCATCTACCCTGGCCCACCCACTACTAGTCTACACTGCATGTGTGTGAGGTGATGTGTGTGACGTGGAGCCTGTGGCTGAGGAGACTCTCATAGATGCTGGGTAGAGGGCATGGAGCACAGCCCTAAATCCAGATGACCTGGCTTTAGCTTTCGGAATTAAACCTGCCCAGAGGGCTCACCAGTAGTGATATCTTGTGGGTAGTGTGTATAAGGCCATGGAGTGGAGGGGCAGGATTTACTCCAGAGATCATTGGGAGGGGCCCTAGCCAGCCTGAGGGCCAGGTTGTTAAACTGCAACATCACTCCAGGGTGCTAGGACGGGTTGGGGGTTGGAGGTGAGTCTGACTTAGGTCTCTCAGGACAGGGATCAAAGCTCAGACAAAGAAAGCATCTAAGCAGAGGACTGAGGTGGCCCCGCATGGGACAACAGAGCAGAGTGGTTAAAGACATCTGGGGGTAAGGAAGCCAGGCCGGAAGAGGAGGGGCTGCATTAGGGAGAAGTAAAGCCAGAGTGGAGAGCTGGAGTGAGTGCACAGAGGAATGGGTGTTCGGCTACCATGAACTCACACTGTCAACTCATGAGGCTGACCAGAGATGTGACAGCCGTAAGCAACACAGGTGGTAGGGCCTCTAAATACACAGTCCTCGGGAAGGAGGCAGGGTCCTGGGAGAAAGGACAGGTTCTAGGCCTGGGCTCAAGGGGGAAGGAATCCTGGAGAGAGTGATGGGGTGAGACAGGACCCTGAGCCAGGCTGAGCGGCAACAGGAAGACAAATTGGTATTATGTGAGCAATAAATGATACAGTAGTAAGGGGCAATACTAAAGGAAGTCACCCCTCCAAAATGGAGGTCATAAGACGGGTTTCAAGAAATCTGCTGCTGTGGAATTCCAAAAAATAGCTAACCCCCACTATACACCCTGGAGCTCAGGGGTCACAGAAACAGACAACTTGCCTCCTCTTTCACCCTGCAGCGGGAAGGTCAGAAGGTGGCAAAAAATGGGCAGTCTAACTGATCTCCTACCTCACCATTTAGAAAAACAGTTTATCAGGCAAAAAACACCACCACAGTTTCTGGGACGGGAAAAGCCAGACCCTCTCCACTCCCTACTCTCTACAAAAACTGATTTTCAGATCCTGAATAGTGCATTCTGCTATACCCTTGGAGACCGAGCCACAGGCGTGAGGACCCTTGCTCCCTGCATATTCATCACCACATCATTTCAGTTTCAAAATGCCTCCCAGATATCCCAGATATGCCTGTGTCTTTCCCTGTCCACTTTCCCTGCTTTCCCTCAGCCCCCAGTGTTTGCATCATTGATTCCAGCTGGTCTTTCTCACCTCACACCACTACACCACCCACGTGTCTAAAAGGAACCAGCGTTGGACCTACTTCTGTACCTGGTCATTTCCTTTACCCATCCTTCTCTTCTGCCATTCAAACCTTCCTTGAATCTGCCAGGCACAAAGGCAAGAACGCAGTAAGCTGTGAGTTCACATCTTTCATTCTCTGGTGCAGGTTTTTAAACATCCGTTATATGGAGCAAAGGTATTTCAGCACATTTACTCTGTGCACAGATTGAATCTGCCTCAAGCAATGAGTACATTTCAACAGAAAACACCTCGATGATAATTTGTGCACCCATCTGCCGGACTCAGCACCTACGAGCTTTCACAATAGGAATGGCCCTGGCCACAACAAAGCCCTGCCATTTCTCTCCAGACGTATTTCACAGCTGTCTGCTATTCCCTAGAGGCAAGGGTTTCTGATCTAAGCTGCTATCTTTAGGTTCCCAGTACCCAGGACATGCTTGTGAATTTTACAGCAGTGAAGACCAAACACATTCATCTCTGTTTTAGCAGAGACCCTTAAAAGAATGGTCTGTGTCTCCAAGAGGAAGTTTGTCTTATTTTACAGTTCTACATTTATTTTAGTGTGAATGCATAAAAATATGGCTGTTCTGTGATTTGCATGATGGCATGTCCTCCAAAATTAATGTTGAAATACAATCCCCAAAATGCCCAAGATAGTCACATCATGGGGACTCCTTCCTGCTGAATGGAATTAGACCCTTATAAAGGGCTCAAGGTTGTCAAGACAATGCTCCAGTCCTCCCATCCCTCCTCCTGTGTGAAACATTGTATTCCTCTCTGGACACTACAGCAACAAGACACCATCTTGGAAGTAGAGAGCAGCCCCTCATCACATCAGTCCTGGCATCCTTGTCTCAGATGCTCCAGTCCCCAGGAGTGAGAAATAAACCCCTATTGCTTATAAATTACCAGTATGTGACATTCTTGCTACAGCAGCACAAAGAGACTACAACAAACCAGATAATGAGGTTTTCAGATTTATAGCTATTAAGGCCTAAGGCCAGGCTACCTCTCTTTAAAATCAAGTCTATTTAAAGGAAAAATAAACAAAGAAATAATCATTATACATCAAATGGCTATATGTCTGGAGTAGTTTCTTCTGTATTTCTCTTTTTAAGAAAGCTTCAGGGTGAATGATTTTTAGGGGAGCTCAGCTTATAAACTAGAATTCTGAAGCAGGTGAGTGTCAATCTTCCCAGTAAGCAAAGCTGATGGTCAGTACAAGCATCACCAATGCCCAGGGCTGCTCAGTCAGTCATCTTGCCAGCTCATTATTCTGCGAGCCTTAGTGATGGACCAACAAGAGGGCACACTTTACATAGGAAGTTACGAAAACAGCTGGAGATTTGGACATGATTCTCTGCCCCGCCATGAAACCCAGACAGAAAATTGAATCCTACACCATGCAACAGTGTTAAATATTTCATTTTTACCTGTCAGAAATGTAGCCAAAAACAATTGCTCCCAGCAGCATGCCAAATACATAAAAGGGCTGGATCACTTTTGCATACCATTTGTGTTCGCAGACCAGGTTCAGTCTTCTTACCACAGAACTTCTCCATTTGCTTTGGTCATACACATAGCCATCAGGGCAAGGAGTGTTGAACTCATAGCCACTGTATATGTAGCCCAAATCCGACATGTTCTCCCTCCAGGTCCTGCTACATCTTGTGAGCTCCCAGACCTTCCCATCCTGAAGCTCTACTATAATGTGATCTTTCTCGTCTGGGGACCTCAGGGCCAGTATGTCCTCCAACTTCCAAGCAGATAAGTTGTGGAAAATAGCCTTCCGAACTCTGCCTGGAGGCTTGCAGGCATGCTCGGGGATAACTGACAAGAACACAGAGGACAAGTAGTGGATGCCACAGGAGATGCTCTGGTAGGCACATATAAGATACAGGACTATCTGGAACCTGTAGAGAGAAGGGAAGGTTAGTTTTTATATCTGGGCTATGGATGGGAAAAGGACACAAGTAAGTATGTAGGGACTCCACCTGCTTAACCTTAAGATACTTACACATATATAGATGGGTAAATACAAAATAATTATAGGTAAAAAATAATTATAGGTGCTTCTCTCTTTCATATGTGCGTGTGTGAAATTATATATATGCACTAAATTTTACTTCCACCCTCATCTCATTAAGTCATTCCAACATACAAGTTTGTATGATAGTTCAAGTTTATTGACCAAACAACCTTTGCTTGGCAAATAAGTCATGGAAAAGATTAGAAAGTCAATTTTACTTAAGAAAACTTTATATGTACTAATTTTTGGGGGGCAAATGTGTTTCTCTACTTTTCAACATGCCATTAGAGCACTGGGTGTCACCATTTACCCCTGAAGGTAATGAAGGGAGCAGTGTCTGACATTGAGGACAATGGGAGCAGATGCTGTGGGGTCAGGGGAGTGTTTGCTTGGGACAACAGCACTGCTCCTGCATGGTCCCCGAGTAACTCAGCGGTTCAGATTCCATTCAGAACAAACTCTCCCCTCTGTAGTCCAGACTAGCCTAGCACTCACTGTGGAGGCCAGGCTGGCCTCAAACACTCAACAGTCTCCTGTACCAGTCTCCCTGGGATTATAAGGCATGAGCCACGGGCACCTAGCTACTGAGTGATTTGTAACCTACAGCCTTAACTAAACACTGACTACTACGTGGTTACTTTAGTCAGCTCCTAAATACAAGGGGAAAATAAAGCGCTATTACCTCCTACCTTGTAGAGCTACTGTGAGGACCAGAGTGTCTATAGAAACCTCACAATAACCTTTTCTTTTTGTTTGTTTTTAAAACACTGTCTTCCTATGTAGCCCAGGCTGGCCTGGAACTTTCTGTCAGTTTCTTTTCTGTTCCCTCCCCCAAACTGGAACTACATATGTGTGCCATTTCTGACTGTAATAAATATGTCTACAGTTATTTGTAAACATCCAAAGTACATTATTAGCCCCGCTTTATAGATGGCTCCGTGCTAAATGAAACATTCATGCCCATTACAGTTCATATGTGGGAGCTGATCCCTTCATCTCTACGTGACTCTGCTGCAGGTCCTTAACCCTACAGCCTCCATTCCCCAGTCATTCAAACAAAGATTCCAACAAGTCTTTTGCAGTGAGCATCAAATTAAGACCTGTGTGTGAGCTCCCTACACAGAGTACCTGACACATGTTGGGTATCTATATGACAATCAGCCCAGAGAATCGGCCAGGTACAGAGGGAGAGCCCACTGAGGCGGAAACAAGTAGTCATCCTGGACCCTGGAGGGGAAGCCGGTTGAGCTGGCAGTTTTTCTACACCTGTGACCACGCCTCCCAATCATGGCCTTTTTTGGTTGAAGGTCTAGAGAGCTCCCAAAGTCCCAACTTCTCCGTAGGAGCGACTATTGCCTGCACCCACCAAGCCCAAGCGCCTCCTATGGCCAGAAACCAAGAGGACAAGCTAGGCCTTGGGCTGTGGGCTAGGCCTCTGCATGAGCTGGGCAAAAAGGGTTTGGAGAAGCTGTGGAACTCCACCCCAACCGACAGAAACAGACGCCCCTGTGCCCCTAACGCGTGCCGCCCCCACACTGGACCCATATCCTTCTCTGCCTCCCTACTTGCCAAAGTGTCCCACGTGGTCAAAAATCAGTTCCACATTGCAGGACTCCATGTCCCTGTCGCGGATCCGAATGCCTTGACGCCGCACTCCCACCAGCCCGGCCTGCCACCCCCGGGTGCCCCCGCCGGGGTGGCCTCCCGCCTTCCTTCCCAGCAGCCCATGCGTCTTGGGGTGGCGGCGCGGGGCTCACCCTGCTGCCCATCGCACGCGCTTTCAACCTCTGCTGGGCGGTTACCCACACTCCCATGCTGCTCCCACATCCCCAAAATCCAGGGAAGCTTCAGCACTTCTAGTAAGTTTCAGGAACGCAGAGCGCCTGGCTTGGCCTCCGGACTTCAAGAGCACCCCATCTTCAGCAGGCCTCGCCCTTGCTTCCTGAACTTTCATGCTTGAGAATCCAACATATAGTGGGTTTTGAGTGCACTTTTATTTCTTGAATCTACTCCCGGTAGCCGAGCTGACCTGGTCAAACTCAGGAGCCTCCTGCCTCTGCTTGCCCTGCCCACCCCTCACCCTGCAACACAGGCCCTCAGGATTAGGACTGCAGGCCAACTTGGTTTTTAATCCCCTTGGCTTTCACACTCCATAACCTTTTCCCTGAAGAACATTCTTGTTTCTTGACCTTTAAAATAGAGCTTGAGAGCCTAGAGAGGCGGCCCAGCAGTTACAGCGTTTGCTTGGAGCAACTATTGCTGGCAGTAACTTCAGTTCCAGGGGTTGGTCGCTCACTTCTGGCCTCCACAGGCACCTGCAGTTAGGTGCACACACTCAGATATAGACACATACATAATCTGAAAAGAAAAAGAACCGATGAACTCTTGCCCCTCTGTGCTGGAATATTAACTAGCTTGACTGGATACAGGTCTTGTACAGGGACCCACAGCCGCTGTGAGTCATTGGGTACAATGGTCTTGTCACACCCAGATGATAGGTTTTGATCAGGTCTCCCCATGACCTCCGGCTCTTAGAATCTCACCTCTCTGCCTCCCTGCCTCCCTCCCCGACTCCCCCATGCTTCTCTGACGCATCTATACTCTTCTCCATCACTACCTCACTCTGGCCACCTGGCCTCCTCACTCATTCTCACACAGCACTCACCCGAAATTCTGAACTTTTACACTCACTATTCCTTCTTCCTGAAACTTCTTGGCTATTCAAAATCACTGCACTGTTTAGATGTTGCTCTGCTCCTACAATGCCAGTCATCATGACCATCTAGCCTCTTCCCAGGCTACTCTTTCTTACTTTCTCCAACCTGATTAGACATATGAAAACCATGGAGAGCCGGATCTTCCGTAAGCTCTAAGCTCCACTACAGGAGCCACACTGACATGTAGTAGGTGCTCAATAAATGTGTGTTAGATGAACAAATGGACACAAACCTATGTATAAGAAATAACACGGAGATTGACCAACTTATTTGAATAGCAGTTTTTCCACACTTGGATGGAAGAAGGCATGAGCCTAGTTCAAGCTTCACTCATGACCCGGGTCGGACCTTCAAAGGAAGAAACCACTGATGTATGCTTCTCCTTATAAACACAACAACTTAGGGGGTAGCAGAAACTGAAACCGGAGTGACTACGCTTCTGTTTCTGGTTTCCCTCCAGTGTTTCCTCCCCCTCCCCCCCGCCACCAGCCAAGATGAACTGATTCTTAGGAAAAGTGAAACCCAAGGCTCCGCCACCCAGCTTGACTGATTGCATTGGGACAGTGGATAGCCGGGCAGAATCCATTGACAAAATTTCCCAGTTGGATGCTGAGCTAGTGAAATATAAGGATCAAATGAAGATGAGAGAGGGCCCTGCCAAGAACATGGGGCAAACAGAAAGCCCTGAGGGTTTTAAAGCAAAAGCGATGTATGAGCTGGACAAGGAGACAACCTTGTCCAGCAGTCCTTTAACATGGAGCAGGCTAATTACACCATTCAGTCACTGAAGGACACCAAGACCACGGTTGATGCCATGAAATTGGGAGTAAAGGAAATGAAGAGGGCATACAAACAAGTAAAAATTGACCAGACTGAGGACTTACAAGACCAGTTGGAAGATACGATGGAAGATGCAAACGAAATCCGGGAAGCACTGGGTCGCATCTACGGCACCCCAGAGTTAGATGAGGATGATCTGGAAGCAGAGTTGGATGCGCTGGGCCATGAGCTTCTGGCTGATGAAGATAGTTCTTACATAGACGAAGCAGCATCTGCACCTGCAATTACAGAAGGCGTTCCCACTGACACAAAAAACAAGGATGGAGTGTTGGTGGATGAATTTGGACTCCCACAGATTCCAGCTTCCTAAACTTGCAGCATTTCAGCACACAACGTAAAAAAATATAATATATATTCTGGGACTAGGAAATATTTCCCAATTTGCCAAACAGATTTAGGTTTCTTTCCTTTCTTTGAAGGAAAAGCTAATTACACTGCTCCTGTATTTTAATTTTGCCATTAAGAAATTCATTGCTTGGGGAAAAGTTTCTTTTACTAAAGTTTGATTTTTTTCCTCTTAAGAAAGACTAACAGAAAAGTCTCTTTGACTTTGTATGACTTGTTTTCACTCATTAACAATAATTTGAAATAAAACCAAGCAGATGAGACTCTAAATTTTATGTAGAAGTACAGTCTCTGTGTGACTTTCTACATTGATAAAGTAGAGATTATTAATGAGATTGAGACTGTGGATAGTGTGCTTCAAAAACCATTGTCTATTGTGGTGTTATAGATGGGTTTAAGTGGTGGCCTTTTTTTTTTTTATAGGTTTTGCTGTGTCATGTGAGCAAATCATTACTTTGTCTAATGTTGGAATGAACTGTCACTACTGTATCAGGAGTTGCTATTTTGATCCCATGGTTCCCTCAGTATGATAGCCTGACTTGTAATGAATAATGGATATTTCTTGATATTTAATGTATAGGACATTTATTTATACTCAATAAATATTTTCCAAAAGGAAAAAAAAAAGAAGCACAACAAAGGCAGATAAACACCAACAGAGAACACAGGCAGTGTTAACCAGGGCCTGAAAGAGATGTGGGGATGCAGTGGGAATCTCAGAGGAGACTAAGAGTCTTTCCTGCACCTCAGCTTCCAAAGTGCTTGTGTGTGTGCAGCTTCCTCTCTGGATAAGGAGTCAGTAAATTGGGTAATGTGAATCCATGCAGGAAAATATCCTGATGTCCTGGAGCCAGTGGCCTCCAGGCCCAGACCCTCCTCGAAGCCTAGCCTTGAAATCATATCTAGTTCCTCACAAGGGACCAACACAGTAGAAAGAAACACAGAGCGATAATAGTGGTTAAGTTCAGGGATGGACAAAGAGAGGCCCAGAGCCATGCTAATAAAAAGATGATGCATGGTCATAGGCTGGTTACCAGTGTACTGCCCAGCCATGCCTAAGATGTCACCAAGAAAGCCACTCGGGGATTAGCATGATGGGGAGGAATGTTGGATGATACTCCATCTTGCAAGACTTGCTGACATTTTCTCATGCTGTGCCTCCGGTCTGCCCCATCCTTCCCCAAACCCGGACAGTCTGCTACAGTTTCCCAGGCTACATGATTGTAGAGAGCCTGGCTAGTGGGTCAACTCTAGGGGTAAGTTTTGTTCTAGCTTCCATTCCACTCCCTTCTGACCCTTCTCCAGGGCCTCCATCTCTTCGGCATCTTCTGCTTCACCACACCACCATACTGTTCCTGGCTGGGGTTAGTCTCTCATGGTTCCCCTTTCTAGCACTGTGTCCCACTCATCTGAAGGCTCCCAGCTCCAAAGTCACCCATCTTCCTCTCCCAGAGCCCCAGGACCCAGGACCAATGATTCTGGGTCGGATTTCTGCCGAGCTTAGGTTCCCAGAGATAAAATGTTTTAGTGCCTTCCCTACCTTTGAGTAACGATGCATCAGTATGCCTCTGTTCTCCTATGTCGTGTGTGTGTGTGTGTGTGTGTGTGTGTGTGTGTGTGTGTGTGGGGGGTGGGTGTGCGTGGGTGGGGGTGGGGGGGTGTGGGTGTGTGGGGGTGTGTGTGTGTGTGTGCACCAGTGTTTTGCCTGCATGTATGTCTGTGTGAGGATTTTATTCCCCTGGAATTGGAGTTATGGACAGTTGTGAGCTGCTATGTGGGTGCTGAGAATTAAACCTGGGTCCTCTGGAAGAGCAGCCAGTCTTCTTATCCATTGAGCCACCTCTCCGGGCTTCTCCTACATCCTTAATTGAAGAAAGTCATTCCAGATCTAGACCTCAGAAAATATCACCAAAGCTGCTCAACAAAGCCAGTTCAGAGAGGAGTGGACAGAGACAAGCGAGATATCAGAATCTGGTTTCAGGCTGGTCTTTCAATGAAGGACTTGACCAGAGACCTAGTAAGATGTACGTGTTTAGGATCGGGGTGCTGAAGAGATGGTGGCAGCAGTCAAGAGCATTGCCTGCTCTTCCCGAG